CACTTTATTTAAAAAGAAATCTCTTAACCCAAAGTTTCATCAGCATATAGAACAAGAAGCTTAGAGACACATGGTTGTAAGGCTTCAACACATCAAGTTTGTTGACTAAACCCTCCATACCATTTGTTTGCATAAAGTTGACCATGTTATTAGCAATCTTCTCAACATCCATGGTTTGTATCTTCAGCAAAAGCTTTCTAAAACTCCCTCATGACACTTCCCACCAGCTCTCCTGCAGTTTTGGTTAAAACCTTAGTGATGAGTTTGTATGCACAACTTTTCAAGCTCAGAGGTACCTTAAAGCTTTAAGATGAGCACCAAGAAGGAAGGGTACACCTAGAGGCAAAGGACCCTTTTTCGAAGTCTGCGAGTATCTCCATAAGGACTTTGATTGGTAATTTCTTAAAGAAAATTTGCTTTTAGTTTTTCTAATTAGAAGTTTTCTATTCTCAGCAAAGGACTTTTTGTTAAAGTCAGAAAACATCTCCATAAAGACTTTGATTGGTAGTTTCTTCTAGAAAACTTGCTTTTAATTGTTGTATTTAGAAGTTTTTTATTCTTAAAAGTAATATTAGTCTTTGGTAAATTTCTTTTGATAAAATATTTTTGAGATGCTACAGAGAATATTTATGTTTGATAACAATATATTTAAAAATATTTTGAGAATTCAAACTAAAATACTTATTGTATTTCGGGAAAACTTCAATGTTTCTAGAAGTTAAAATGTGTTGATATATATACATAATTAATCTTTTGGAAAGACTATAGGTATATCTGGTAAGAAACTAAAACTCATTAATGACTTTTTTTTTCCTTGACATAGAAGCAAATTTTGTTACTTTGACAAAGTAACCACATGATAGCTGTGGGAGCGGCTAAAGTTTCTCTTTTCAATAGAATTTTCTTTAGGAAAAGAATTAAAAAATACATTAGTAAAAATTAATTTTCTAAAAATTGTGCTTTAAGAAACAACACAGGAAGCAGACTGAATGGAGCCAAACTCTCTCTTAACCATTGTTTAACTCTACTCATATTTTCATTTCTATGATGATTTATTTGTATTATCCTCTGTTGATGTGTATTTTTTTTCCTCTATCTATTTTATAAAGAAAGCTATATCTTCACTATGATATTTTTTGTGAGCTCTCTCTAAACATAAACTATAAATTGAATGCTATCAAATTAGGGGGATTCAATGGTATGTGAAGCTGATAAAGTTCTTTTTGATTAGAGTGAAAGTAGGTTTCATTGGTGTTTGTCCATATGTGTGGGTTTTAAATGATTTCCTAAGCAAGATTATGATATGCAAAATGGTTGTTCCATGGAATCGAAAACTAGTACCTGCATTTAGCATATATTTGTACACACACACACACACATAACACATATACAACTTGTAGTAGCATTTAGCATAAAGTGTATTGAAGTGACATTATCTGGAATTCCTAATTTTTGCTTCATTTCCAAAATTGTGTAGACCGCTATCTCTGCCCTGCAATCTGTTCTTCAAGAGGATTTCAAGGCGACTGAGATTGAGGTGATGAGGTTTCTGTTTATCATGAGTCATTCTCTGCCAATATTTAGATCAAAATTTTCTGTTTATCACTTCTTGACAATGCAGTTCCTCCCCAATGCAGAATTATTTTTTAGAAATGAAAAATCATACAGTTTTCTTAATATCTAGATTATTTGGCTAATACTCAATTTGGACTTGCAGAATATTGTGAAACAAGTGAATTTGATGGGATATATTTAATTTGTGGAATTACTATTAACAAGGGAATTTGATAGGACACAGTTCATTCTTATTATTCAATTTGTGGCATTGCTCTAGCTATTACAAGTAGAGTTTTCTGAATTAGTTCTGGTAGAATTTATATTTTTATCATGGAAAAAGACAATGTGAATCATCCTGTTGTATTATTAGAGCTGGAAATATTGAACCTACTTCTGGAGCTAAAATGTATCTTTCCTGACATTTACTGACATGAATCTAATGACTTTGGCAGGTAGGGGTGGTGAGAACAGAAAATCCTGTTTTTCACGTGTTGTCAACTGAAGAAATCGATGAGCACTTGACGGCCATTAGTGAGCGTGACTGATTAAAATGCTTGATTGGGGAAATGTTGCTATTAATTGAACCTGCAAAATATACATTTGGTTGATCTCAGGGTTCTTTTGTTGGTTGTTTAAACTAAAATTCTCCTGTCGTTTCTCTGCCTTTTTAAGGGGTATTAAATGCATGTGCTAGAATTATTTTGCTGCTCTTGGCAGATATTTCCAGGCTTCACATTTTTATCTATTTTTTTGAACTAAAAAGGAAAAGAAAACGTCACCCGAGGTGGCCGATGGTTATACAGGCTCAAGTGAAGTAGGAGGGAGTATAGGTCGTCAGGGCATTGCTCCAACCAAATGGAGTTATCGTGGAGATAGTGCACCTTTTGGACGAGCCACTATGTGCATATGTTGGCCTCACGGATAACATGGGAGATGCAGACTTCCCAATCGCTGGATAAGATGTTCCTGATTTGGGTTTTGTGGTGCATGTCAAAAGGGCCGTGCCAGTCTCCGTGCTCTAAAAGTGAGCAAGGAATATGGAGTCAACTCCCTGGATAAGGTTTTTAATCCCGTTGTCCTAGGTTAATTTAGCCCCTCTAAGGCTCCAGTAACTTTAGCAGCCATAGGGCGATCTTGACTAAAGTAGCTCGTAAATCCTACCACCTAACGCTCTTGATTGTTGCAAAGAAGGCTACTATCAGTGACACTGCTGGGGCTATGAGCTGAAACATGATCCATCCGTCCATAAGCTGATCAATCGGTGTTGATGGCTAGTGGTAAATGATTTAAACTTGCAATCGTATAGATATTTGGCAAAAGACGGATACTTGTTACCCACTAGAGTGCAAATGAAGTAATATTAGAAAAGAACAAATCTTGGGCTAAAATATTTGCAGTATGAGATGAAAATATTTGAGCAAACAATTAATAAGAATCATGATGTTCAAATTTTGTGCTTCAATCACACGTATCTGAAGTAGAGGATAGAAAAATGGTGAATTATAGGTTAGACGTTGGTCACAAGAAACAAGAATTTGAAAAGTAAGAGTTTTCATTTCCTCATGCATTCATACAGATATATACAGCTGGGTATGTATACAGGCAAGAGAGTCATAAACCTAAAGACAAGCATCCAAACAAATCCCAGTTAAAAGAAGAATGTATAAGTTGATAGAAATAGCAGGCAAAACGTGGTGAAGCTATCGGTCCCCCCAACAATAGCAAAAGATTCCCCTGGTTGTGTGTGTATAATTAGGAAAATTGACATTCTTATCTTTTAAAGTGGTCCTAATTAATTTGAAGAAATTAGCATAAGTTACACGAGCCTCACCCTCTTCTTCTTACGTCTCTTTCTGTTGTGGCACACCACGCGGACATATTTGTAACTTCCTTTTATCTTCAAACATACCATTTTGCAATCACATGCTTTATATAGACACGTGTGTGTGTGTGTGTGTATAGATATGTATGTAACTTTCATGCTTCTTAATTATCTGAATAATGGAGACTGTTCTAGCCATGGTCTTAATCTATTAACTTGTAAAGCAAGAAACTTATAAGATAAAAAAACATGGCAAATTTACTACCTCAAAAAAAATATATATATATATATATATGTACTTATATTTTTGTTTTGAGTAAAAAAAAAAATGATTGCTTGGTTTTTCTTACTTGGCTCATCAAAAATCTTATTAGTAGCTAATATTCTACTGAAACTGAAAAGACAAGGATTGACACATTGATATCTTCTTCTTGTTTGCTTGAAGGATTGATCACTATCTCTTCTTAGCTTCAAGGCTTGAGTATGACATTTTACTTGTTGGAAAGCTTAGAAAGGCTTATAGGAGGAGGAGGTTTGCTCTCGATCTCTCTACCTATCTTTCCGCAAGTACTTAAGTTCTTTTCCATGCCGAAGAAAGACCTTTATTTTCAAGAGAGTTGTATCCATTATTCAAAGGAAAACTCATAGGTCAACATATTCTTCTTATATAAACGTGTTGAGAAGAAGATTATGCTGAGTCCCATGTTAATATATATATGTATATGTGTGTGCGTATATATATATATATATATATGTCCTTCAGTTTAAAATTTAGGCATTAGACAAGTTTTATGGGTCCCTGCACATGTGTTAATTTCCTCAAACGACAAACGACAGGTTGCAAACTTGCACTTGGACGTGCACGCCTCATGTCCTCTTGTGCCATGCGAAAAAAATAAAGGGGAAAAAGAAAAAAAACATTAGTAATATAATATTTATTACTCATCTTCAAGAAGCTACAACATCATGATGCATGGTGCCGCTATCGGTCCCCCATGACAGGACAAGATTCCATCTCTTTTGGCTAAGAATTTTGGAGATTATCCTGTAAAAAATACTGAGCCTCTTCTAAATTTTTGAGATTATATTTTCTGTAAGAATTTTTGCATGTACTATAAACCCACGTTCTATGCTGCTTAATTAATCAGAGAGTGTAATGTGTGTGTGTGTACATATATGTTTATATATAATTGTCGTAGAACTGTGTATTGCCTTCCAGTTCTTCTTAAGCAATCTTTTCATCCACCGATTTGATGTGGCATACAGAACGTATAATACCTACCTTCTCCAACTTTAATCACGACAATGAACATATATAGTTGTTAGCAATAAAATCCCAGTGTAAAGTGAAGGTTAATATTTACTCGCAAGTGATTGTGAAGATGAAGCTAAAAAGCTTCTAGTAAAACAAAGCCAGGGAAAAGCCTGAAAATTGTTTTGTTTGGAGGGAAAACTCAAATGTTCGTCTCTTAGAATCACGAAATTTGGATGAATAGATGTCGGTATATATGGATGGAATAATCCAATATTGTTTTGCCATTTTTGGTGTTCTTCAATGAAACAACATGGTGGATGCATGTCAGCAGATAAGGTTTCCGCTTATGTATCATCAGTGTGTGTGTGTGTATATACATCTTGGCTTGCTATTATTATTTCCCTTTTCTTATTTATCAATATTTCAAATATAGACCCAAAAGTTGACGTACAAACCTCCGTGTCTTCTCTACACTACATTTAAAGTGTGTAAATAATCATCCAGTCTATTTAACAGTCAGTTTCATTCAAAAGAATTAATATTCAATAATAAAAAAAAAAATCCGTGTATATAAATAAATAAATATCCATAATTAGAAATATAAATTTATATCATATTAATAAAATGTTGACACCGTGAGGGGAGGGGAGGCGTAATCGCAATTTTCATTATTTGTATTAATTCACATGACTTCTAGTTTGTAATTGAAATAAATGAAAATATATAAAATTTATTTTTTATATTTAAAATTAATGCAAATAAATTATATGAACTTATAAATTTATTTGACCTTCCTTCTGCTTGGCTGACACGCATGTTACTTGATAAGCTAAATTTATAAAATGCAATCTCCTTCAATTTCAATTTTGAAATAATTTATTTATTATTATTATTTTAGAAAAAAATATTGAGAAATTAAAAGGTGGTGATTGATTGTGTTTGTAGTTTTTGTCCTTGTCATTATTGGGAGGTGGAAAGTATATAATCGCCGCAGGTTATTTCCCATGCCCATCACAAACTCATCATTTTTCTTAATTTCAGATATGACTCGCTTATCATCATCTCACCCACAATGGACTCGACCCATCAAATTTAATTTTAAGCCGAAAACAAAACAAAAAAAGAAAGAACTCTTATCCGAATAGGAAAGTAAATCCGCCCCCAAAAATAAAATAAAAAATAAACAACAACTCTTTCTAATAAGACTGCAATTCGATTTATGCCACGCACCCACAAGCTCATTGTAAATAATAAACCTAAAAATACAATCTTTTTTATCCAACTCAGTCAGATCATCATATCATAATATTACCAACCCACATTATAAATAACCTTTTACGCCTCTACAAGAGGTAGAGAACAAAGTGTTTGAAACAATGGCGGTCTCTGGTTCCGACTCTCAAGCACCCAACACCAAGGTAAGCCCTTCGACGACGTCGACGACCACGGAAGTCGAGTCTGTCAAATGCGATTCATGTGGGTTCACGGAAGATTGTACTCCTGCATATATTCGCAGGGTGCGCGACAGATATGAAGGCCGTTGGATTTGCGGACTCTGCATCGAGGCAGTCAAAGACGAAGTTCTCCGATCCAATACTCTAATCTCCACCGAAGAAGCACTGCGTCGTCACATCAATTTCTTCAAGAAGTTCAGATCCTCTACTCCGATCGACGGAGCAGAGCACCCAATCTCTGTCCTGTGTAGGATTCTTCGTCGAAGTCTGGATACACCCACAGCTCTTCGATCCAACTCCAGTAGTTCTTTGATTCCGATTCAAAGTGTTAAAGGGTCGGGACTGGTTCGATCGGAGAGTTGCTTTCCTTCTTTGTCTCGTTGATTGCTTCTTTTCTGGTTTTGCTACTTGTTAATCGCAGGTAAATATCAAGCAGAGTAGTCCTGTTTTTGTTCTAGATTTTGTATGTATATTTTTAGGGCCTTAATAGCTCTTATCCTCTTTCGATACCTGAACAGATTAAACATATTGTTTCTCCTTGTATATAATTGATTTCAATCGACAAAACTGCTTCAATATTTCCTTCAGTTCGTTTTTGAATTAAAACGAAAACGGTGCAATCTCCATCCTCTGGTTTTTTTTTTTTTTTTTTTTTCTGCCATTTGTGCTTCGAAGAAAATTTGGTACAGTGAATCCCGTGCATAAAACAAAATCATAGGAGGGTGTAGTTTTAGGTATGTTAAAATCTAGTAGGTTATTTGAGGCGGCCAGCTGTGTGAAAATGGTTGATTTGTAAGTGACAGAATAAAATATATAGAAATGGTAAGAACCGGTGATTGATTAGGAGGAAACTGCCAAGAAACACCCAAAGAAAAATAGCCAAGAAAGAAAGGAATGGGTGTTTTTGAACAAGATGGAGAATGGTGATCACTTTTACCTGCAAGAGCAACTCAGGCTAAGAACATGATCATATTTTCTTTTTGTTTTCATTAGATTGTTTAATTTGTCCTACATTATGCTGACACAGGTGTGGAGTATAGGGGGGGCCTGTTCTAGATGAATCAAGTAGATAATGCAATGGTAGAAAGTCTCTTATTCATGAGAAGTTTCTGGATATGTCTGCTCAAACAAATGTAACATGTCTGAATTCACAGAACCCATGAAAGATTTTTGTTGTGAGGTGATATTCTTAAATTTATTACAGAATTTGGAATTCATTATATACAAAAATATCATCATAAATTTATGTTTTATCAAATAAAAAAAGAGAAAAAATCTCAGAATCTTCAAAGGATTCTCCGTTTGAGCCAACACATGTGATGGCTAGAAATTATATATATATAGTCCAAATCTGTTGCTTTCTCTCTTTGATTTAATGAGACGTAGTCAATCAGCCATTGACTTCAAGGGTTGAAACATACAACTCATATATATTTAAACCATAGAACTAATCGTATAACAACACAAGAATTTCTAGAACTCATTCTCAAATACACTTTTAGTTTCTTAAGAAGAATATAAAATCTAAAAAATTATTAAAAAAATTTGAATGTTTTTGGGTTTCTCGTGATACACACACACAAACATATATGTCTTGAGAATACCATTGTCTCTTTGCTCTAATTCCAAGTACCAGAAATCCTTATTAAAGTTTATTTGATGCCAGGTTTTGAGTAGACAAAATACGAAAAACCCAACTTTAGTCAGTATTTTATATCTTACTGCCAGCCTCCCAAACCTGAGCATATAGGGTTGGGCTAAATTGCATAGGACCGGTCCAAATCGAGATCGATTAAAAAAAAAAAAAACAAAAGAGCACATGAATCGAAGTCATGTTGTTTTAGTTTTGGAGTGGACTGAGCTGATATGTTTTGGTCCATCATGATCATGATTCAAATCAAAGTAGACGAAGTTTCTACTTTTTTTTCTTTCTCAAAATCTGATTTTTTTTTTTTTTTTTTATAATTCAAAACAACTTAAAATTAAACTAAACTAATTTGATGGAGATCCATTCACTAGAATTGAATGGCCAACCGAGGAGATATATTTCATAATCCAACCCCTCAATTTGTTCCCAAAATTCATGTTAACTAACGCACTCTAGTCTAGAATCTCTCTCCATTTCACAAAAATTGAAACTCTCTGCCAACTCCTAATAACACACCCTTTTACCTATTTATCAACACTTATAAAATTTTATACATAATGTCGACAGGGGAGATTGGTTTGAAGTCTTTTAAGATAGCTGAGTTTTCAATTCTAGAAATTAAGGTTAAAAAGGATAAATTTAGTTAGTTCTAGAAGTGAACAATCCAAAACAATTTCTCTATGATGGTCATGATATCACTCTTCAGCGTCTCCTACTTTTTCCTAATGAACGACATATTACACCCATCAGGACCCAATGCTCTATCTCCATCCCTATTCATGACTAGACTTCTAGTTTTTTCCACCAAAAATTGGACTTTTAACTCTGCCCTTTACTTATTTAACCTATTACACTCGATCCTTTGTAATAACCTTCAACCCGTTACCATCATTAAAGGGATCCTTACAAAAACCTTTAAAGTTCTCCTTAATAATCTTTGGCTTATTTGAGACGGTCCCATCGAAAATCATCATATTCACTCTTATCCTCATGTTGATCGCTTTGTAAAAGAATTTACTATTGTTATCCCGATCCTTCAACTATTAGATCTTAGCTTTTTGCCTTGCTACACATTCTTCTATTCTTATCAAACCCTAAAGTTCTAATTAATCTCACAAAATTCTCCTTATTTTCTCTCTTTTACTGGGATCTATTCTAGCTCTCTTACCATTCTTTCTAGTATCTCTTGAGTTTTTTTTTAATTTCACACCCAATCCCGCCAACTCTCTCCCTCTACCGCTCTTTGAATTCTTGTTTTAATAACTTTAGGTTCTTTGCAAACCTGACACTAAAAGATCATTTTACACAAAAATTATTATATTTTCCAACCATTAACTTTTGAATGTTTTTTCTATTCGCCATTATATTCAAGATATTGAATGGTCTGGGCCCTCAATTTACATCTTCACTTCTCAGCCCAACTAGACAATGGTCGAACACTGAATTAACAACATTCACCTATTAACATTGAGAAAGGAACCAATGAACTTGTCACCGATAAGAATTTGTCAAGCCTATTAAGGGTCAGGTCATCTCACTTGTTAG